GTGTTCGCAAGTCAATGAGTGTTTGCAAGTCAATGAGTGTTTGCAAGTCAAGGAGTGTTCGCAAGTCAATGAGTGTTTGCAAGTCAATGAGTGTTCGCAAGTCAATGAGCGTTCGCGAGACGTTAAATATTTGAAATTCCTTAAACCTGAACTCCCTCACTCCTTCCCAGAAAAATTGTTAGAAAAAGGGGGCGTCAACAATAGCAAATCGAAGAATACAATGGTCTATATTAGACCATTTCCTGGTTCGTACAATACTGCCTGTTTCTAAACTCATTAGACAGCTTTGTTTACTCAGGGTTAGCCCCCATTTCAGTTTCGAAATTTTACAAATACCAACGCAATAATGAAGAATGAAAAAATCATAACTTCAGCAATACTAACACTTGGTTTAGATTCCAGGGATCTTCACTGGAACACGTAAATAATGTACATAAAATGAAGACCAATTCTGAGCAACAGAGAACTCGAAACTTTACGACTCCTCCTGAAGCAGACAAAATTAGGTTAAGTAGAGAGAGTCAGAAAACAAACCTTGGCTAGAAGGGTCAATTCTTCATCCACCTTAGGACATACAACAGGTAAACACACAGCACCAGGAACATCTATATCCATCGGCGACCCACAGACCACGTAATCATTCCATTTAGTATTCGACAAGCTAATGTTATCACCTGGTAATAACACTGCTTTACTGCTGTTTATCATATCTTCTAGCGTCTGCCTGTGTAGTTCCAGTATTTTATCATAACGTTTCTTCACCGGATTATCTTGAGTGGACATACTTCTCGACCTTGAATTCCCAGTACCAGTCTCTGCCGTTTTCTGTTCGCTCAGGCTTTTGGATCGTTTCTTTTCGTCACTAGCAAAAGGCTTCGTGTTGGGAGGCCTTGAAGGATATTTCGGTTGCCGGGACTTCATGTCGGCTTGCCTATTTACAACCGTCGGCGCCACTGCTGTGACAGGGCGTTTTGGTGATTGTTTTGGGGCGGGTTTACCAGTCTTATCTGCGGTTTCGTTAAAACGGAAGTGCACGTGCCGAGACCTAGGTACTTCTGGTAAAGGACCCAGTTTCTCTTGTTCTACTCTAGTCAGTGTCTCAGCTAAGATCTTAGCATCATTTAAATTTGCAAGGGCAGCCTCGACCTTTAGTGTCAGTTGCCCTGTACAAGGCTCAAGGTATGCGGGGGCTTCATGCTGGATGTTCTGGCTCATGGGCTTTTGATTGACTTCGGGTTTAACCTGTACAACTGGTATCACGGCTCTTGCAGGGCGACTAGGCTTTACAGGCTTTTTAATGTCGGTTTTGGAAAAAGGAAAATTCTGATAGGATCGCCCGGATTTACGTGCAGGTAACTGTGGAGACGAGTTGGCTTCCTTTACTTCTGTTCCTACCACGGGTTGGGCTTCTTCAGGGGGTTTCTGGCTCAATATAGTACTATCCCTCTGCCTGTCCTTGATATTGGTACATACAGGACTAGTGGAGCGAGCTTCTGATACCTTTTTTTCCATTTCTTCCTTCTGCGCTGAATTACTTTCGTTTTCCTCTTTAACTAAGATAGGTGAACTTATCTCAAGTTTTCTTTTATTTTTTCGTCGGCCGCTTAGCCTCTTCCATGAGGATAATGCTCTCTTAATACCTGATCCTGACTTGGACTGGGCTTTGCTTGACTGACTGCTCTCTGGTTGTTTATACTGGCCGGCGGGGGAGGGGGTGGGAAAGTCTCTAGGAGATTCGATTTGTGTTTCTTTTTGAGAGGAAACACGTCCTGTTGAATTTGCTGCTGCAAGTAAAAAATTTAAATATAAATAAAAGATAGAGAGAGAAAACGAAAGTAAGCGGCAGAGAAGGGAAAAGGGAAATTTAAAAACCATTATATAAAGTGATGGCATGAGCGGTAACTCTTGTTTTCTATTAACAAAAGGTCTTTGCAAGCAATCACTGAGAACTTTGATTTGCACTGCATTGAAATTTTAAGGACAATGAGGATTGAGAACAATAAGAATGAGAACTGGAACGACTGGATATATATTGTGATAGTTAGTATGCGGAGAAGGAGCCAATAAGCCTGTTTATGAAACACTTACCTTTAGGAGGAGGAGGAGCCATACGTTTTGGCTTGATTGTTGGATCTTTACTGTCAACTGTATTACCAGATCCCTGATATTGAGAGCACTCTGGAGAACCTGGTGAATGTTTTCCTGTGGGAGAGGTGGGTGGGGTTAAATCACTGGTGTGCTTACGTGAAGGGATAGAACTGGTAGATGGTGGTTTGGGGGCTTCCTTTTTGTGAGTTCTTGTAACTACTACAAAAAATAAATCAAAAAAGCAAAATCATAAAAAATAAATAAAAACCATATATAAATAAATTATAAAAAATTAAATTACAGTTAATTAAGTTAATGCTCAACTTAAAATTACATAAACTAAATAGGGTATATGAATTATGGTGTGATTAACTACATTTACCAGGATCCATTGCAAACTCACAATATTATTTGAATACAAATGAAAATAATAATAAACTTAATAGGAATTAACTGTCTTAAATGAAAAAAAATCTTGGCATAGTTAGTTAATCTTGTCCTCGCATTGCAGATTGCTCAGGTGAGTATTTTTACGGCTGAGTATTTCATACACTTTCCTGCTAAGTTTGCATCAGCAACTGTGCTCCATTCACTAATGAAGCACAGTTCTCAACCAATAAGAGAGTGTATACTATCAGAACTAATAAACAGTATTTAAAAAATGATATGCCGATCTTCTTGCAACTAATTGTAAAAGAAAAAAAGAAAAATTAATTATGCAGGATATATTGTTAACATAAATCAATATTATTATGGGAACACCATGGAAGCTTGAACGATTATGTTAATTATAAGTGAAATTAAAAAAAGGAAAATGATAAAAATGCCTGCTTTCAAATGTGTTTATTAGTAAATAATAAGGATGCTATAAACCTGTGAATTGTCATAGAAATTGTAAGTGTACGTTTGTTGAGAAATGTGATCGTCCGGGTGAGTGTAGTCTTGAGAAAGACTGTCATTGGTGCTGAATGACTTTTTGGTAACCTGACCTGAAGTCATCTTCAGAGTCCAGTGAGAAAACGAGAGATTTGTAATCGTATGGTTGTGAAGCTTTGATTGAAATAAAATGAAAAAGTTGTAATTTTTTTAATTCTTATTTATTTATATCTTTTTGCCTGTCAATACTGGTCATGTGGAAAATTAAAATTAAAAAAGGGATGGCATAATATATTAAGGCCTCTTTGCAAGCACACTTCCTAGAGTTCTGCCTCTGGACACTAACTAACTTACACCAAATTGAAAAAATAATTCATTTGATTCATGAAAGTCTATACCCAGAAATCTACAAATAAAGCATTTTGTCTGGTTCCCATAATCCTGAAGGTACTCCAAATAAACAACAAACTTTCATAGGATAAACACGAAGAAAAAGAGGTTTTGAATCTTGTACTGAGCCCATGTTCCTCTTGGTCAGTACCAAGAAACAATTCTTGGTGCTAACCAAGAGAAACGTGGGCTCTAGGTACGAGATTGAATATGCATTCATTTGATTGGTTCAATATCATAGCATTAATAATTCTAAAATAATTACATTCTTTGTAAACGTATTAGGAGTTTGTTATGATACTAGAAATAATAAGTATTGGATGATAAAAGACTGGTTTTAAAAAATACAGGAAATGTAACTAAATGGACATTTTGGTTATAAGAATAGCAAATTTATCATAAATGGAATCTAAAACACATTTTCTTTTGAAATACATACAACATAAACTTAAATAACTTTTAAGGGTGAATTCATTAATAATCAAGCACATGTATATTTTTCAGAAAGTTACAGTGCGACTACTCCAACCAAAGCCACCTCGACAAATTTTCCACAAATTAGCCAATCAAAAGTAGGAATTTGAACAATAGAATTGCTGCAAATCGGACAAATATCCATGGGTTTACACGGCTTAGAAGACTGCCGGCACCTTTGTTGTCAAGTATGAATGTGCTGTCACATAGCAACATACATGTAGTGATAAGATCTAACAGTGTCAGCCTGATAATATCTTTGTCTGGAAGAAACAAACTGTAATCATAAAGACTGCGTTTTATACAGTTTCAAATTATTTGCTTTCCTGTCGTGTTTGAAGTCGTATATTGCTATTTTTCTATATCTTTGGTGACACAAATCACTAATTCGAGAAGAAAATATATTACAAGCTCTTCTTCATTATTTAGTTTTACCAACCGGAACAACAGAAGAATATTTTTAATAATTCAAAATTTACCGCTAATCTATTGTCTAGATACTCAAACACTATAGGATAATTTGTGGAAAATTTGTCGAGGTGGCTTTGGTTGGAGTAGTCGCACTGTAATCCTTCCATAACATCATTTAGGAAAGCGGTTAATATATATATTTTGATGCATCAAGCATGATATATTATTTGTGGCAAATCTGTGTCAAGCCTAGACTTAGTTTGAACAAGAAGACTATTAATTAAAGAATAACTAATTAACTCTGAAGAAAATGAATCTCAACATGACATTCACATACATAGGCAAAAAGTAGTACAATGCAATATAGATGAAATGGAACTACACATGAAATTATAAATGGAAGGGAAGGGAATGGAATGGAATGGAATGGAAAGGAATGGAATGAAAGGGAATGGAATAGCCATGACAGGGCAAATATTCCCCATTAAATAAAAGTGAATTAAAATTGAATAGTGAGTAAATATCAACAATTCTAAGGAGAAAATACACATGGAAAGACAATAAGGAATTTCATCTTATCAACATGCACTATTTAGTTGTATAAAGTAATCCTTTATCAAAGGATATGACTGACAATGCTTAAGTATCAAATTATGGTATTAAGTGGCTGAGAGCTTGACCTGGTGTCATGGAGATAAGTCTTTTGAATGAATGCCATTAGCCACATGGACTAAAAAAATGTCATTTGATATCCATGGGCAGGTGGAAATATAGCTGCTGTTAAAAGCTTACATGAAATATACATGAAAATATAATCACTGAACTACTGTACTGTCTACCTGATTTTTTTTATTATATACTTAAACAATTTTTTTGCTAAAGGAAAAGTGAATATATGGGAATATTCTCTGATATTCACTCAGCCTTTGGCAAATAATTGTTAAGTATCTTTGACACGAATGAATTTAATAAATAATGGAGAGAGAGTTTTTTGTTGTTTTTTTTGTTCAGATTCTATTTATCTCTGCAAGAAGCAAACAAGCCAATGCATGTTATATTCAAAAGTAGGTGAATATAGCAGCATAAGACGTAAATTTTGACCAATGAGTGTGCCTGATTTATCATATTCACTTGTGAAAAACTACTAAATTTATGTGATTTACAATAATATTCAAATCCTGGGGAACATAGAATACTCTGGTAACTCAGCAAAATTCTCTGGCTTAAACTACGATTGATATCTTAGTAATTTATTCAAATATTCACTTTCAAAACTTAGTTTAAAACTTAATGCAAACCCTAAATCTATGAGCATGCTATTGGTTTTCAGAAATAACACAAACAACCATTCTGTTATTCATAAACGATCCAACTAGAACAGAACTGAACTGAATAGGAATTGGATGGAATGTGATAGCATATAGGACTGAATACCCATGTCTGTCGCTAGGGGTGGTTCCATGGTTGGAACAAACCACCCTTAACACCTTATAATAATGTTTATTGCTATTTTAGTTTTTCAAGAAAGGGCATAACTAAAATTGGTAGATAAATGAACCCTCCCCTTGAAGGTCCTAGTAACAGGCATTATAGCTGAGCAGAAAAAAATAAACTACAAAAATTATGGCTATTCTGATTATTAAAGTTTTTCCATACCTTGAGACACTGGACGACTACCACGAGTGACATCCTTTATATCTACTTCCACCTTAACTGCTCTAGGTACTGGCCGAGGAAGAGTGGCACTGTGTGATGGCAACTGTGATCTGGGCCTTGGGACTGGACCAGCCTTTGGTAATGGAGGGACCCCTTTTTCTGGGTCCTTTTTGATCTCAATAGGTGGAGGGTCCTTATTCTGTGGAGTTAGCTTCTTATAGTCTGGTACAATATCATCTGGGGGCTCACAGTAATAGTGGTCTGGGATGGAATCCTCTTTTTGACGGTTCAATTCCTTTTCCTTAGGGGGTAGTGGTGGGGTATCAGCATGTTCATCCTCATTGCAATGAACAGGTATCCCTGCACTGATATCAACAACCTTATATGGTTTGGTTTTAGGTTTGACATCTGCATTAGCATAACATGGCCCCTCTACTAGCTTAGTTACATCAGGATTGGAATGCCGTCTCTCGATAGTTCCTTGCTGTTTGCCTGTTCTTGGATGTGAATCAAATGGCTCACCATTACCATTAGTAGATTTATTTCTTTGTGATTCAGTGCTCGTTTTAGTGTCAGTAACTGGAGAACTAGGCATACTTGAGCTAGCCTTAGAAGAATCTGAATTGTTTGACGTCTCACTGGGTTCCACAACAATGTCTTCAAATATTGAAGATTCTCTTAACTCTCCAAGATCACTTTGAACTTTAAAAGCAATGCTTTCAGGTCTGTCTGCTGTTGACAATACACTAGAAATAAAAGGTCTTTCTAATACAGGAGAGTTACTAGACAAACTGTCCTTTCCATCGCTGTCTATGCTCCGACGATTTTCATAATGAGGTTCTAAATTTAAAGTCTCTTGTGTTTCACAGCTGGAAGAGGTATGATTGATATGTCTTGGTTCAATAGGCCCATTCGATGGTCTATCTGAAACGTCTTTGATAATATTATTGGGGCTTATAACACCATTTTGTTTATTTGCAGAAGTAAGCGAGTCACTTTTATTTATAATCCGTTTAGTTTTGTCATCCGACTCACATGTATATGTAGATTGAATCTTATCTGTTGCATCTACATCTGTTTTGTTATCATCTTCCATACCTCGACAGACATTATTTTTCATTTGCATATATTCCCCGTCTTTTCCATTAGATTCAATAGATTTGGAATCCATATTCAAGTTTTTTTCTTCTCGCGTATTTTTTCTTTGACTGATCGATGAATTTTCGTACTGTCTTGATTCTTTGACACTTACGTCTCTTTTATTCACTTGATCTTGCTTTATATCATCTGCTTCGACTTTATTATTCCTCGAAATTTCCTTTTCCTTGGGCAAATCTGCACTGGCAGCACATCTGAAATTCTCGTTAGCATTATTATTTACGTTATTTTTTGAGTCATGAAGATGTGTTTTGGGTTCAGTTATTGATGACTCACTGCTCCAAACAGAACACCTCACATTTTTGTCATCTTCTGAATCATGTGAGGCCTTAGAAGCAGTTCTTTCCCTTGTCGAAATATAAACAGGTTTAGGCTTATCCAGCGAGTCAGTGGTTCCCCTGTTGTCTGCCGACAACGCTGTGTTTTGTGTTTCACTAGAGGAAGAATCATTAATACGAAGTGTTGCTTGATAAGACGACAGCCTCTTAGAGAATTCAGAACCCGGCGCTCGATAAACTATCCCGGCTCGTTTTACAGTCCCTCTTTTGATAAATTCCTCTCCGTCAACACTCACCTCCGAAGACGTTTGTCTTTTACTGTTAGGAAGTCCATTGGTTTTAATATTCGGTGATTTAGAAGCCTCGTGGTTGCTTTTTATGAGACAAGAATCGCCATTTGCATGAGGAACGTCTTTGGTGCCAGTGAAATGCTGCTCTTTAGATCGAAAACAGTTCGAACATTTTCCCTTCTTCCACAAATTCTCAGCATAATTACTACAGCCTGACATACCTGGATGTCTTCCTGTGTAAGATTATAGCATTTTAGTCTCAAATTTCTCTAGAGAATTCTGTTAAAATTATAAACCCATTGAAGAACATGAAGCCGCATCTTTGACAAGAGACATAAACAGGACTCCCCTCGGGGGTGGGCTGGGGATAGCATAGTAAAGGAGGGTGGGTCTTTGTTGTAAGGTCAACTAACTTCCGTTTTCGCAATAAAAATATAATTCTAACAAAGTCAAACATTCTTGGATCTTACTCAAAMCACATTATAATTCTGTTTCTTAAATATCCCTCAATGCTTTCTCTTTAAAGGAACTGTTGCTTTCATTTTTTATAAAAAGCAAACTTCAAGATCAGCTGTTCTTAACATTTGCATAATGTCGTTTGGACAACAAAGGCTTTGAGGTGGTTCTTTGATAAGTAGGCAACGAAATTGAACGAAATACCAGACTTCCTATTTATTTCCCTTTATTAAAATCTAATGTCAAACCGCAATAAATTAGATTCGGCCGTCAAATTCGATGGGAAATTTTCCGTCCAAATTGTTCAAAAATCCTGGCCGAGTTAAAAAAATCAAAATTTCAAATCGACCGGCCAAACCATAACATATACTAATACATACCTATGCTGTGTCACCATATACGATGCATACAGATGTCTATATAGTGTATGTACAGCCGCATGCAAACACGTTTACCCTTTTACACGTACAAGTATATCAGAGATTATCCTGGAATATCATCTGTGATATTTTTTTATTATGTGATAGGGGGGAAAGTATCAGGGTTTGATATCGCATGATTTCTACTATACTTTTGATTTTTATATTTTGTTTCTGATTTATCTATTAACAGCGATATTGTCAGTTTGACGTGTACTGTACTGTACTTCAAATTATACTTTTTTCTGGCTCTCCTCCTTCTGTTGATTTTTATTTTCTTCTTCTTCTTTTTCTTCTTCTTTTCTGTAAAATTCTGAACTAATCTTAACACCAATGACACATAGCAAAAAGCTATATCTCGCTTTGTTATGACTATCATACTTCGATATTTTCATTGGATTATGATATACAGGGTCCAAACAAATCATTACAAACGGCTGACTCACTCGAAGTAAAATGAACGATATACATGCGGTTGAAAAAGAGATACGCACAGCATTCATTTCGTGATTTTATCGAAGAAATTATTACTTAATCATTGACACCATAGTTTCCGCTTATATATGAACAAAAGATTTAAAGAAATGCGCGCATTACTTTATTGTACTTCGATATAATAGGGGAAATAGGCCATGAAATCGTTTTTTATTTTACTATTATTATGAATCATAATAAATGCAAGTCCTGTCCAGTCCAGTAATCCCTCCTGGAGTCAATTTAACAGAAGTATGGATTAGGACTATGGAATGAAAGATTTGATCCGGAAATCTTGATTGAACACCAGTACAAAGGTGTTTTTTTCATTTTTTGCATGGGACGTCGTTTTCTCTCGGCTTTAATTCTTTTTTTTCTTCTTCTTCTTCTTTTTCTTTTTTATCCTAATTTTTCCCCTTTCTTTCCCCTTTTTTTGCTCGCTTTTTGAATGTTTGAATGTCTAATTACCTCAAACACATACCAGCGTTGCCAAAAGTCTGGGCACGATAACGGTTTTTCATACAATCAATTAAGATGCAGCATTGCATTGAATCACGATAACAATCCCCCCCACTCCTCACCTCGCTTCAATATTGGACGACAAATAAATGTTTCTTTTGAAAAGTTTTGGAGTGTTAGGGAACAGGACAACCTGGCCACATCTCAACAATGTTTTAGAGGAGGAGGGTTATTAATGCAGTGTGTTTTTTGAGAAGGTGATGGTGATCGTTAAATATCTTCAGTGTGCAAATACATTTTGGCATAGAGTGTAGATATCAAGTGATGATAACATTTACTAGTCACGCATTCCATAGCTTCTTTTGTTAAATCAACTACCATGGCAACTGTTCATTATTATTCATATCTCATGGTTTGTGATTCGATGTGATTCAATGTTGCACCCCGTTGTATTACCCTTAAATGTAATAACACCCATAAATGTAATACCCACCATAAATGTAATAAAAATCTGCCATAGATGTAATAACAACCATAAATGTAATAACAGTCAACCATAAATGTAATAATCGACCCCACCATAAATGTATTAACCCCTCCAACCATAAATGTAATAACCAAGTGTTCCGGAGAGTCAAACGAAGTGTTTGATCAACAAACAACTCTAAGCAGCATTGTTTGAGTGTTTTGTTAAATACAGTGGAGGGGTCACATACCACGTGATAGCCAGTGTAAACAGCCGTTTTGGATACAGATGGAACTGTGCAAGAAACGGGTGTTTACGCAGGCTATTCACTTGACCGTGGGATTTGTATAGGGTAGGGCGAGTGCTATTTGAGCTTTTTGAAAACCCGTGAGTGCATTTTTTTTTCCAAAGTGCACGAGAATACCATGCGATTTCTTGTTAATAATATAGATGCAACAATTTCGAACCAAAATTAGATAGAAAAAAGACGTGTTGGAAAAAATTCACGAAGCGAAGAACTCGTTTGTTTTTGTTTAAAATTGGTTTACAAAACAATATTTTATTTACAAAACAGGAAAGAAATATGAATAACAAAAATTACTTTTGGTCTTTAAAAAGTAAAAACATGCTTTCTTAGAAATCATTTTTTCATCTTCAACACTTCAAATATTTGACATTTTTTGAGAAAACAAGTATAAGCATATTGCGAAGAAATTCTGCAAAACTTACATAAATCATCAAATATTCTCTTTTTTTTCAATTCCTAAACACTCAAACGAAAGTTGAATAAGCTGCTTTCTTTGTACAGAAGTATTATGCACCTCTTTACGGATAAAGTAGGCGAAAGCTCTTGAAGTTTCAACATCAAGTTTAAACGTCTCTCGCTTCAACTTTCGCGTCAAGTGAACTTGAACAGCTGTAAAATGGCCCAACTGATGTTTTCTTTCCTTTTAAATTCTCAAATAACAAGCAGCGAGTCCTCCTTTTGCCATTCTCAGCCTTTTTTTGCTGGTTTTCAACTGATGAAGCTTGACTTTTTTAGAATTTTTGAATCCATTTTTAAGATGAAAATCCGCCAGCTTGAATTTTCTGAAAACTTCCAGAGAGGGAAGGCTGTTCTGTTGCCATGTCAACTACTGTGATCTGATTGGCTAGTTTGAATTTCTTTTGTCTTTTCAACCAATCACTGAAAAGTGTTTCATATTTTTGCACTGTTGTTTCACATTTTTTCACTGGTGTTTCAGGAAAACAGGACTGCTAACAACCAATCAGAAGTGAGAAATTTTTGCATCTGTATTATTAGTGACAAAATATCATGTACATCCGTATGATGATGATGGTGATGATGATGA